ACTGGCAGCCTGTGATGAGAGCCGCGCATTCCTTGTGACAGCCGCTGCTTGAGTCAGTGAGGGGCAGCCCCGGAGTCTCCGTGCCGCTTCAATGACAGCCCAGCCAGGTCGGCATCAGAGGGGCCCAGGGGGGAAATTGCCTCCCTGCTCCCCGGCACAGTCCGCCCCTGGTCGAAACAATACTGAAGCGCACGGCTCGGCAACGGTTGCCTCGTACAACGTAAGACTATCCTGACGTCAAACTGCACCACTCTTGTTTGCCCAGCAAAAAGTTTCCCGGCACATTCACCAGCCAGCATGCAAAAAAACTTGTCTGACCGCTAAGGTTAAAAACAGAGGTTTAGATACATGTCTTCTGCAGAAAATGTGAAACCTGCACAGCCACACCAAGGCACCTCTTATAGTGCGGTCCTAACTCTAAACTATGAGAGTCTCCATCTTGGAGCACATGGGGCAAAAGATCAAATTGGGTGCAGGTTTGTCAGGAGGAAGCCCAACCTCCTTAAAGGCACAGGGACGCACAAGGGACCCCGCACATCACAATGGCAGCTGAGACCCCCCATGCATCACTGCACCAAATCAGTCAAGCAGTTTTTTTGCATGCTGGCTGGTGAGTGTGCTGGGAAACTTTTTGCTGTTGTACTGTATAAAGCCCTTCCATGTGCACCTTGCTTAGAGCCGGTGACAAATTGATGAGTGCGTTTGCCATTTGTTTTGCTTCTCTTGTTCCCCCCCTCTCTAGTACAGTTGGTGAATTTAGTGCAATATAAAGGCGAACATTGTCATTCAGAATATAAGAATTTCTTAGAATATTATTTTTGTTTTATTAATAATAAAACAGAAATAAATGCAAATAATGTCCAGTTTTTTATGCGGACCACCAAAATTTTCTCGCAGGACCACCAGTGGTCCACGGACCATTGGTTGGCGATTGCTGTACTGAAGGTAACCAAAGGAGGAGGGGTGGAGAAGCGCCAACAGCCTGACGTGGAATGGTAATGGGATGTTGGGAAATATGAAAGTTTCACTCACATCTGGGTGAGTTCGCTGCGTCTTTGGGCCGAGGATTTCAGGGAGGTGGTGCTGTGTGGTGAGGTGCCAGCACTTCTGATTGGATACCCGGAGTGTCAGTGTGCTTTTGGAGATTTAGTTAATGCAACAAATCGGTTAATCAAAAAAATAATCGGGCAACTAATCGATTATGAAAATGATCGTTAGGTGCAGCCCTAGTCCACACCAGTCCTCTAAGTCCATCCCAGTCATCTTATTCCTTACTGGTCATTAGCTTACATTGTGAAACAATACAAGAAGCAAAATGCTACACTTAATGACCAACAGATTTCAGACACCTGACTTGATGGACATCCCATTTGAGAACCATGCGCATTATTATAAAGTTGTCCCCCTACTCCTTTGTGTCTATATTAGCCTCTTCTTTGAAGGCTTTCCTCAAGAATTGTCTGTGGCAATTGGTGCCTAATTGGCCAAAAGAGCATTTGTGAGGTCAGGTATTGATGTTGTATGAGAAGACCTGACTTGCAATTCATCTCAAAGGTGTTCCGTAGGGTTGAGGTCATGGGCTTTGTGGAGGCCCCTCAAGTTTCTTCATGCCAAACTGGTCTACTCATGTCTTTATGGAGCTGGTTTTGTACGAGGGCCACATCCATGATGGCATAAAAAAGGGTCTTCACCAAACTCATCAACCCATGTCCTTATGGAGCTGCTTTTGTATGAGGGCCACATCCATGATGGCATAGAAAAGGGTCTTCACCAAACTCACCAAACCATGTCTTTATGGAGCTGCTGGTCATGCTGGATAAAAGAAGGGCCTTCACTAAACTGTTACCACAAGGTTGAAAAAGCACAATTGTCTAAAATGTTTTTGTATGCTGTAGAATTAACAGAACTTCATGGTTATCCACATACATTGGACCATACAGTACATTGTATCTGCAAAGTGCAGAGCTCAAAGCCACCAATCAGAACTCATCTTACGTTCTACTGACTTAATTAGAGTGAATTATGGTGTCAAAATCACTTCCTTAGAGAGGAACTCTGGGAATTTTGAACCCTTGAAGTGGGGCTACCCCCACACTGCTAGAGTCATGTGCTTGTTTTGTCTAGGGGGCTCAAATCAAGCAGTTTTATTCACCTGATCCTTGGTCAGCACTCACCTCTCTTTCTTCACTTGGCTATTAAATGTCCCTCAGCGTCTTCACGTCTAATGCAAGTCAATGGACCTGCATCAGACGTGATGGCATCAGTGGTCCTTAGATCACCAAAGCCCAGGGGGAGATGAGGCAACGGGGACAGGTCAAGCAGCATGACAGGTCCATGGGTCAGGTGGATATATCTTCTTTATGTGACTATCTAAGACAAAACAAGTACCTAACCTTTGTAGTGCAAGGGTTAAGTTTTGTCTAGGGGGTCAGATAAAGCAAATATACTCACCTGATCCTCGGTCGATGCTGACCTCTCTCTGCTCCAGCTGTGTTATGTCTCTTGGTGTCCTCACATCTAAAACAAGTCAATGGACCTTCACGAGAACGTCAGTGGTCCTTAGACTACCACATCCCAGGGTAGAAGAGGCTACGGGGACCAGCCTACCAGCCAAACAGGACCTCTGGGGGTATCCTCACTCCAAGGGTAAGCTTTCCTGGAGATTCAAGTCCGCTCTTCCATTGGGTTCCGTAAATTCCCCAAAACTTTGTTGTAGATCTGTGTGATCTAATTTCTTATTTTTAGACTGGCAATAACATCTCCTCCAAAGTTTGCCGGCGAGCCCTTAGCTCTGCTCCTGATGCTTTCTATCCGCACATCGTCTCCGTCCCTGCTGTTGCATCTTCTGCTCGCCCTGCTCCCACTCTGCGCTCTTAATGAGCCATTAATGGCCTGCCAATTACTGATGCAAATGAGCGATTTTACTGAGAGCGTCGTAACTGTACCTGAAGGCATAACACGACACGTCCTGTTCAAATATAAATCATTTTTATTTAAATGACTTCCTCCCCCCCCTCCCTCCCCCCTCCGCGTCCATAGCGATAAGAGATGCCGGAGACTCCTCGCAGAAAGACAAATTCAGATGAAGCCGCGATTCGCTGAAAGAGATTATTCCCAAACAATTCATTAGAGCTCTCGGATAGATTCCATATATTATGATGGTGATGACGGATGGCCAACGCTTTGCTATTAGCACAGATGGTATTTACTGTGGCGGTGGGGAAGGTTAACGACCTCAGGACTCGGTTCAATTAGCCCAATTCCCCAAATGACGCTGACCCGGATCTACGTTCTCACCCACGCAGTAAATATACAGATAGTTATTACTTTACCATCGGCAGAGCAATTTACCGGGAACTCAATCCTCACTCAGGACTGAATTGTGGGCTGAATTCTCTTTTTCTTTTTTTTCTCTTATTTTCCTTTTTTCTTTTCTCATTTTCCTTTTTTTGTGCATTTTCCTCCTTTTTTCTCTTTTCTTAATTTTTTCCCCCTTTTCTTTTTTCTGATTTCCTTTTTCCCTCTCTTTTCTAATTTTCCTTTTTCTTTTTTTCTCTCTACTTTTTTTACCTTAGAGGAAAAAAAAGAAAAAAAGGAAAAAAGAGATAAGGAAAAAAAGGAAAACCCTTTTTACCTTTTCTATTTTTTTTCCTTTTTCCTTTTTTCCTCTGTTTCTTTTTTTCTGTTTTCCTTTTTTTCAGTTTTTTCCTCTTTTTTTCTCATTTTCCTTCTTCTTTTTTTTTCTCTGTTTGCCTTTTTTTTCTTTTCGTTTCTTTCTTTTTTTCCACTCTTTTTCTTTTCTTTCTTTTTACCTTTTTTTTCTCTTTTTCCTTTTTTCTTTTCTATTTTTTCTAAGATACAGGTGAAACTCGAATAATTAGAATATCGTGCAAAAGTAATTGCAGTAAGTGCTGCAAAAGGGGCCCAAACCAAGTACTGAGTACATATGCATGCTTGTACTTTTCAGAGGTCCGATATTGTTCTATGTACAATCCTTGTTTTATTGATTGCATGTAATAATCTACTTTTTTGAGGTTGTGGATTTGGGGTTCTTGGGGTTTTCATGAGCTGTAAGCCATAATCATCACAATTATGACAAATCACGGCTTGAATTATCTTGCTTTGCATGTAATGAGTCTCTCTCATATATCAGTTTCACCGCATAAGTTGCATTAGTGAAATAAATGAACGTAGCACAATATTCTAATTATTCGAGTTTCACCTGTATATCTTTGTCTTTCTTTATGTCCAGGAGAATTCTGAGGGTTTCTTCAAATTGCGTTAGCCAGGCAATTTGTTCTGAACAGGCAGTCAACATGTCCTGCCCCATTTTTTTTGCAATGAAGCGCACCGCACCGTTGTGGTGTTCTATAATACCAGGGCGCTACATATGTGCTTTGGGGTGCAACTAAAGTGAAATTACATTTTTAAAAAAACTATACATCTCTTCAATACATGCACATTACTCTAAAACACTGAAAGTTTACAAAAATACTGTTAATCAGCCAAAAGAAATCCAGCAGTAAGGACACTGTGTTGTCAGCCCAAACAGGAAGTAAGGGGCTGCCCTTACTTCCTGTTTAGGCTGACAACACAGTGGCCTTACTGCAGTGAAAGCTACACAAGGAGCCAATCAAGGAACAAGGAACATGCTAATAGGAGAAGAGGGCAGACAGGTGAGCTCCTCAGTCTGTTGCTTCTCCTTTCACTATCCAGTCACAGGCTGGGGGAGGGGCAAGACCTGTAAGTGTTACTTAACTGCAGTAGAGCAAATGCAGGTCTCCTGTGTTGCCAGACAGGGCTCTGCCGTGTAGAAGAGCTGTGTAAATCTCATGATTGGATGGACAGGAACACAAATCCTTTGTGATAAAGAGGGAAATGTTCCAATGTCAAAGAGAGGATTTTCCTTATTTCTGGAGAGATGTTTTATCACTTTTTTGGGTCAAAGAATGGTAAAAATCATATTTTACCCCTTTTTTTCTTTTTCTTTTGCCCTCCAGAGAGAAGTCGGACTGGAATTCAACCCCATGTGGGACCATCGAGGCTTCTGCTGCCATCACTGCCGCCGCGGACAGCGGTACTGCCAGAAAGTCTGCGAGCCCATGCTGGGGTATTACCCCTACCCATACTGCTACGGGTCGGGGCGCGTGATCTGCAGGATCATTATGCCCTGTAACTGGTGGGTGGCCCGGATGTTGGGCAGAGTGTGAGCAAGTCTGATACCATTATTTTATTCTACAAGAAGAATTGCCATCCTGTGCGCCTGTGCTGTACGGAGGACAACTCCCATCATTCTGTAAGTGCCTGGCACATTTTTAAAGAGGCAATTTATGATAATATAAGAAAATAATAGTAAAAAAAAATAGGCAAAAGTAAATAAATTGGGATTTAAAGTGAACCTGTCACACAAAAAAATGCTAGTATGTAGTAACTAATGCTAGTAGTAGTAAGTAGTACTACTAGTATGTAGTAAGTATGTACTAGTATGTACATACTAGTAAGTATGTACTAGTATGTAGTAAGTATGCTAGTAGTAGTAACTAATACTAGTCCCTTAAATGTCAAGATAACAAAAAACATGTAGTATGTCTCTGCAATGCGTGTACATTTCCCCAAATGTTATCCCTTCGAAGGCCCTGCAAGGACAGGATAATACCGGTTGGTCTGTCAGAAATGCCCTTTGGCTCCTAAGTTCTGTCGTGGGCTGAAAAAAGCATTTTTGTTGACTGAGTGGTGTCAGCCCTGCCCACTTGCCTTTTCATAAACTGCTTAACCACTCTCAGATCTTTACAATATATCAAACAATGAAGA